ATGCGATTTGTTTTCCAGGCCAAAACTGGTTTCCTCCGCTTTGCGCTCGATTGAAAAATGCTCACCTTGCCGCAGTTGGTTCGTTTTTGGGGGATTCCCCCCCCGTGCAGAAATCGCCCGGTGTAGTTGTTGTGTCGCCGCGGCCCAGCAAAGTCCCAACCCCGCCCCGGTTCGGCTTTGGCCGCCGGCAGGGAGCTCCTTTACCCGAGCGCCGGCGGCGGCCGGAGCCGAAGCGCGGCCGGGCGGCAGGGTTTGGACTTTGCGGACCCGGATCGGAGCCCTGTGCTGTGGCGGCAGGCCTTGCTGCTGCTGGCCTACCTGATCAGGAACGGATCGGAGCGAGTGGTGACCAGCGCGCGAGAACACATCTACGACCTGCGATCGCTGGAGAACTACCGCTTCACGGGTCAGTCGGCGCCCGCTCCCTCTCCTGAGCGCTCTTGCGCCGCCGCCGCCGCCTTCCCTCTGTTGAAACGTGTGCCCCGGACAGACGAGAACGGCAAAGACCAAGGCGTCAACGTGCGTCAGAAGGTCAAGGAGACGGTGGAGTTTGTCCAGGACGACGAGCGACTGCGAGAGGAGCGCAAGAAAGCCAAGAAGAACAAGGACAAGTATATCGGGGTCTCCTCGGACAGCGTGGGAGGAGCCGGCTGCAAGAACTGTGAGTGGTCCCGACCGACGTCCCCGCGGCCTATCCCGTGACTCGTTTCAGCTCGGAAACGGCTCGGCCCGCCCAATCGAAACGAGGGGTGGGTGGCGATCGTTTGCCCGATCGCCACCGTTCCCCACCCGCCGCGTCTGTCCGTGCGCAGCGTGTGAGCCGGAGCGCGGCAAATGGGAGGAGGACTGGGACAAGAGCCGGGCGGCGTTCCCCTTCAGCGAGAAGCTCGGCGAGATCGGCGAGAAGATCGGCAGCACCATCGACGACACCATCGGCCGCTTCCGCAAGAAGGAGCGCGACGACTCGCCCGACGGGATCAGGTCAGCTTGCGTGCCAACGTGCACTTTTCGGGTCACTTTTACCTCCCTCGTCATTCGCGCACGGCGCCGCCCTTCCGCAGCAGCGACAACGAGGAGGACGGGACGTCCGGGAACGGCCGACGGGAAGCCGGCGACTTCCGAGACGAGGAGGAAACGGTCGCCGCCAAGAGCGTCCGCCTCGCCGGGGCCGCCGAGACCGCCGCCGCGCGCAAACGCGGCGGCGCCCCCGCCGGCGTCAAGACTTTAGACCTGGGGGCCGCCGCCCGCTACACCGGGGACGGGAGTCCCGAAGACGACCAGGTACGGCGCCGCTCGTGACTTGGAAGGAGAGAAAGGAGAACGCGAAAAGGAAGAAAAAGCGTGCCGCAAACTTTGTTTCCGCCAGGCGATGAGTCAACGTTTGGGAATGCCGTTCGCTGTCAAAAGGGCAACTGTCAAGGTCCACTGGAGAAAAATCTCCACGTCGCAAGTGGGGCTGCCGCACGCAATTTTTTTTTTCCAGTCGACAGCACTCACGATTAATCGGGTGCTTAATTAATGAATTAATTAGCTTCCAGCTCGACTTCTTGAACGTGCGTTCAAATTATCAAGACAACTTTTGTTTTTCCCCAAAAATACCCGAGGTCGTCAAATCCAATTTGGGAAAATGTTGATTGTGCTAAAAAGGGGGCGGGGCGGGGGGGAAGAAAACCTTTTTTCATTGTGTTTTCATTGTTCCTTGAAGCGCTTCGTTCCTCGGCCCGTGCTGCCATCAAAGACGAGCTCGCATCTCGCGCAAAGTCTTTCGGGGGGTGAACTTTGGGACGTTGTCGCAAACACGGACGGGCGGGTTAGCCGTGACGCTACAGCGACTCTTCCCCTGCCGACCCCGCCGCTTCGTCACAGACGAGTCTTGCACCCGGTGGGAGACGAGGCGCTTTCGGGAGGAAAAACAAAGCCGCAAATAAATGCCGCGGCTCGTCGACTCGGATCGCTGACGTCGTGGCGGCTGGGCGACCCATCTCGGCGGCCCGAATAGTTAGTCGGAAATGACATGAAGGTCCCCAAGGTGGACATCGCATCTCGCGCAAAGTCTTTCGGGGGGTGAACTTTGGGACGTTGTCGCAAACACGGACGGGCGGGTTAGCCGTGACGCTACAGCGACTCTTCCCCCGCCGCTTCGTCGAAGGTCCCCAAGGTGGACATTTGGCGAGAAAGGTCGCGAGGTCACTTGGCCCCGTTGCGCAACGGGGCCAAGTCACGAGAACGCGTCGACCGGAGAAGAGCGGACGGTCGCCCCCGCCCGCGTCTTATTGGCCGGCTGTGCTTTTACCCGCCGTCTCACTAGGCGTCCGGCGGCAGGGGAGGGCCGGCCGACCTGCTGGTCATGGACTCGTCAGCCCATCGCAGCTCCGCCGCAGGTAAGGCTCGGCTCGCCGCGCCGGCGCGTCGCCGCCTTAGTGACCGTCTGTCCGTCCAAGCAGGCGCCGCATCCGCCGACCTGCTCGCCGGCTTTGCCGACTTCTCCTCAGCGGCGGCGGCCGCGAGCCTGCCCGCCTCCAGCGGTAAGACTTTGCTTCTTCCTCGTTGCTTTTCATCAGCCAAAACGCCAATCGGTGTCCGAGTTTGGATGCGGTCGACTTGCTCGGCTCCAAATTTGAAGCGGGTCCGTTTCAGCCATGCGATTTTTGCCGTCGCTTCAGACTCCTTTTGCCCGTTTTCCGCTCGTCCTACTGGGAAAGGCTCGACCCCCTGGCCCGAAATCCACATCGACAACTCGCCACAATGATAGTTTTGCTCGTGGAATGTGGCCGGATCGTGGGGCTGTTTTTTTATTTGAGGGGGTGGGGGCGCCTTGGCCCCCGGTCAACCCCACAAGGTCAGGAGATATCGAGACGCGAGCGTGTGGTGTGTCTTGTGAGCAGCCGCGGCAGCGGCCAACGGGAGCGCAGACTTCGATTTTTGGAGCACCTTCGCAGACCCCCCGACGACGGCGGCGTCCCCCTCGGCCGACCTGTTGGGCACCTCGCCGGCCACCTCGCCCGCCTCCGTCCTGCCTTCCGCCGAGCTGTTTGACCTGATGGCGGGGGCGCTGAGCGCGTCGCAGAGTTTGACGTTTGCGCCCGTGGTCGCGTTTGACGCGCCCAACGTGCCGGCGTCTCGCTCCCAGCAGGTGTGGAGCGCTCCGTCGTCTTGTTTTCACATCTTGCTTTTCCTTGTTGATGAGGCGCCTACGACGACGATGATGATGATGATTTTTTATTTTTTTTTGTCTGACGTCAGAGCCTGGGAGTCTTGACGTCTTGGCCGCCCGTCGGACTGGAGCCGAAGGTCGGGGTCCCGGCTCGGGGATCTTTAGGCTCCACCTGGTCCGACCCGTCCGTCAACATCAGCCTGGACTTCTTGTCGGCAAGCCCCAAGCCCGCAGAGTCACCGGCCGCCCTCAAGGATGGCGCGCGGCAGCAAGGTAGCGCGGCCCGCTTTGGAACGCTTGTCTCGATTCCATTTATTTGCCGGCGTTCACATCGCCGATGCGCGGGGGTGAGCGAGCCGCCGGATGCTTATTTACTTGCGCGTCGCTCAACGTTATTTTGCCATCAACGGCTCTTTTTTTTTTTCTCTCTCTCTCTCCATTTTGTCCTTTGAGGTGTCACAAAAGTCAAAAAAACCTTGGCGTCCATCTTGTGCTTGACAAAATCTCAGGTCATCCACATTTTGGTTCGAAATGGGTGTTGTGCGGCTCATTCGTCAAGAATGGAAAAAGATTGCAACGTGATTCATTTTCTTTAGTCTTTTTCTGGTGATGGACCGAGAGCGCTAACCGCTGCGCGTCTTTGCAGGCGCGCCTCCTCCCGTCCGCACGCTGTTGAACAACTTGGGAGGCCTGGACCTCAACCCGGCGTCGCCGCCGCTCCCACTCGGACCTGCGGCCAATCCGGGCGCGACGACGGCAACGGGCGGGCCCGCGGCCGTCAGGCCCCGCCGGGATGACCTCGCCGGCAACGCCGGATGCCTCTTGGGCAACTTTGGAAATTGAAGGGGTGTGTCCGAGTGAGGCGAGCGGTGGCGGAGGGGCGCCTTGCTGCTCAGCGCGCCGCACTTGCGATCCTCCCAACTCCCAACAAGTTTGCATGGCGGCCTTTGGGGTGACATTTCAGGATGGCCCCGAAACGCACACCAACCTTTCCTGCTCACCTTTGGAACGTGTCGAATGTTTCCAGGACCTGAATCGCACAATTCCCGGGAGGTGCGGGGGCGCTAAATTCCAGGGCCTTCCTGTGACTCTTCTGGTCGGTTTGCGAGCGGCCGCCTTCTTGCCGCCGCCCGCGCTTTGACGTCTCGAGACCGAGACGAGCTCAACGATTGATCGAGGGCGCGAGGCGCGGGGCGGCAACCGAGACCGACCGAGGCAGAAGACTCCCACAAAGGCCTCCGCCCTTGGAAACGGGTCGCTCGGCTCGACAACCAGCGGGACCCGCCGGTGTCAATTTGAGCAGGAAATTTCCCGTTGCGAACGTTGCCGCCGGGCTCCTTTCGAACGGCGACTTGCGCAAAGCGTCCGCAAACAAAACGGCTGGACAGGCGTCGGCGAGTCGGCCGGGGCAAAAGAAGTTGAAAGCGTGCGGCATCCCGGCCAGCGGCGGCAGATCAGCCGTTGGGTGCGAAGCGCGTTTTGGAAGCCTTTGCCACATCACGCGCGGTTTGAACGTCGGCACGGCATCAAAATGAAATTCGCTGAAGTCCGCGCGCGGTTTTGCGCGTGGACTTCAGCGAATGCGTTTGGCTGCCGAAATGCACTTTGACACTCGGTGGCCGCTGACGCCTCGTCCGTCATCGCACCCCCCGAGCCGATGCGCGCGACGTTTATGCGAGTCGCGGAGAAACCCCCCCACGCTCAGGGCCAACATCCCTCCGGCCATCCTCACCTTGAACGCGGGCCCCCAAGCGTTTCCCCCCCCCCTTGGCGCCCGAGGCCCCGATGGACGAGCTCGACGTTTGCGTGCGCGGGTGAGGCATGTGGGGGGGGGGGGGGCACGCGGCGAAGCAGGACCAAATGTTTATTTTGTTACTCTCACAAGGACAATTTTCGGTGCCGTGTCTTGCTCACGTTCGGGTTTCTTTTTGGGTACAAGCCTGTTGCTTGCAATCGTGTACTTCCTTGGACATGCAATTAAATTTGGGAAACCTCAGTGAGTCACTTCCGATGCTCATTTGAACTTGGAACGCTGGTAGAAAATAACCAAGTACAAGTACTTGTTTCTGGACTTGAGTATCAACTTTAGCTTTTGATTTTGATCGTAGAAAGGGTTCCGTCAGTCGTCATCTGTTTGATTTTGATGGAAACTTTCCAGCCCCTACGTTGTCAAAAGCCACCGTTTTGTTTTTCCAACCGACACGTATGAAAAGACAGGATTTAAAAACAAAAGTTACATCTCGAGTGAAGAAAAGACAAGCGCATCGATTGGCGTCTGGAAAGGCAGACCCATTGGGAGAAGCAACAGATTGAAGAGAGTGCTTTGATCATGTCTACGCCAAGAATGATGGGGTGGGGGGGTGCATTGGGTCTTTTTACCACCACTTGCTGCCATTTTGAAATTGTTTTTCTAAATTGGAAAAAAAAAACATAAATAAAGTGTCGGGTTTTTGTCAGTTGTTCTTGCGAGCTCATTTAGCATTTTCTCACAGGGTAGGTCAGTGATGAGGAACCATGCAAAACCTGAGTTTACAGAACGTCTGGAAACTTTTGTTTGTGTGCAACAACTATCAATGATCCAATTAATTGACAAATATCGAGACGACGTTGAACTTCAACTCGCATACATGGCAATTTTCCGCGGAAATCCGCCGTTTTATTTCTTAAATTGATCATTTTTGTGAATCGTCTAAATCCGCTGAGAAAATTTTAGGGGCGGTCAGGTGCCTTATCGTCGAGTTTTCACGAGCTCTCCCGAACAGTCTCTCCGTTTTCCGTTTGTAAACAGCCCTGCGATTGGACGTGTATGAAAGCTTCAACTAATCAGATCAC